GTCGAGCAGCACGCAGGCGGCCACGTCGCACGCGCGCAGGCTGCCGAAGAAGGCGCGCGCGGCCGCCGCCAAGGCGCCGTAGTCGCCGCCGCGCCGCACGTCGGCGCCGCAGCTCAGGTAGAGCCAGTGGTAGAGGCTGCTGCCGTCGATGACGAGCTTGGTGCCCCGCACGCGCACGGGCGCCAGGAAGCCGCCGTGCTCCTCCACAAAACTCGCCAGCCCCGGGACGCCCATGATGGCGGCGCCAACGGCTTCCAACCGCCGCTCCGGAAGTGGCGCCGCCGCCGCCCAATCCAGGGCCTCTCCGCCCTGGTGGGGAGGGGGGGATGGCGGCCACTGCGCATGCGCGGCGTCTCCTAGCGACGGGCGCAAACACGGCCYGGGCCTCGTCGGCCGCCGGGCCGGACGGAACCGGGCCGGGCCRAGGGAAGGACCGGAGGAAATAAATCTGCAGGAGAGGCGGAGTTTAAGCGTTAGAGCTGTGGAGCTGGTCCTGCAAGTGAGGGAGAAGTGGTGGCTGAGGTACCAGAGGGGTTCGTGTGGTGTGGAGAACCAGGAAAACTCGAGAGGAGCAGGGAAGGGGTTTGATCAGCGAAGGAAGGTTTGTCTCGGGCCTCATAAAGTGTAGGGATACATTAAGYGCCGTGGGAGAAAGCTGAGGGTTGCCTGAAGGAAATGAGATATGAAAAAAGCTGACAAGGAAAAAGTACCGTGCGATTGCCAAGGTGGTGTCAGGCTGAACAGAGAAGGGCTTTTGGAGAGGAAGGGTCTCAACACTTGGATTTTTTTTTTTCCTTGTATTTATCCTGCACTTTAATGAAGCAGTTGGTGTATTGCTGCTTGGAAAATGGTTATCAAGTTGAGTAGGATCATGGCTGAGCCATCCAGCACTGGTGCTTATCCTCTAAATCTGTCCCTGAGTGCTGCTGCAGCCACCGGATCCTGCCCATAATGTGACCGAAGCTGTTTGCAAAGTGGTTTCCTTATTGTAGATGGGCGGAAATTGAAGCATAGAGAGAACAGGAGGTGAGAGACAGGCTTGTAAATAAAGCAGAGGAATTAGTCTCAGTGGGCACTCTGAAGTGTAATGTTGTAGTGTAAAAGGATGGGGACAAACTCCTAGGAGTCAGGTAAATACCTAAATCACAAGGTGAGTGGCAGCACTGACTGTTACCTGGAAAGAGGTGACAGCAGTTGATTTTTAAGTGCTAATTATTTCAGAAACTTAGGTGGCTGAAGCTGCTCTGTCTGGCATTTACAAAGGCATATTCAGACTTCCACGAGCACAGGCTTCCTTAGAGAGTAGTAAGTGCCAAGTCTAGAAAGTTTACATATTTTTCAATGTAATATTTTATGGAAATTTTTCTGTTCTCCTAGCAACCTCAGCGTGGTCCATTCATGCTTTAGAGTGGGAGTTAAGAAGCAGTAAGGCATTTTTTAGCTGACATTTTTTGCTTGCCATTTGCATTTCAAAATTTGCTCCCTGAAGGAGATTATAGAAGCAGAATCTCACAAGTCTGTGTGTTTGGAAGATTGTATCATTGTTAAGATGGCTTGTAATCCTGTGACATTGCCAAGCCAGGCCCGTTGACAAAGCGTGCCAGCAGCTCAGCAGATGGATGTTAAAATAGGTTCATGTACACACAGTGTTACTGTTACAAAATACAGAATCGTAATCTTCATTAGGGCTCTGTAGCTGTTAGGAAGTAAAGACTATCACTTGCAGTCTGCAATAATGCAGATTTTAATATGATGCATTTTTCATTTTCCTTTTCCAAAACAGCACAATGTAATTTTTGGCTTACATTGACAGCTGAACAAACGTGGTGTGGTGACCCTGCACTGCTACAGGCAGTGTTGATGGTGCGAGCAGTTGCATTCATCATAGGATTTTAAACTGCCTTTATTTGCTACAAAGGATCCTGAGGTACAAATAATGCTCACAGCCTCATAAAAAGCAAGGTAATGAAAGCAGTGGGCAGAGAAACCTACCCCTTGCCAGTTGGAATGAGAAAGGGGAAGGATACAAAGTGATTCAAAAGTTGTGTTCAATTACTGGAGGCCGTGGAAGCATTAGACCTTTGCCTGGTGGTCTCTATGTTTGCAGGATCACAAATCACAGCTGGATTATTAAAAGGTGGATCAAGAAAGGCTATTATAGCAAAGGAGAAAGAAAGGTAGAAGAAGCAGGGTTTATTGAGAGGCCTGCGGACTTGCTGGTAGTCAGGAAGTGCAAATTTTCAGTAGATGCTAATGGTGAATCATGTTGAATCAATGAAGCTATCACTGGAATAAAGATAAGAGGAAAAACAATTGGTGCTATAAAGATAGRATATAATTCTTTGTGACACATCTGGGAGAAACTGTAAGGTGAAATACAGACATAGTTGTTCCTGTTTTTGAAAAAGAAAAAACCTAAACTTCCAAATACATTAATGTATAGATATCGTGTTTCATATTCCCCATCATGTTCTTTCAGTACATCTGTTTAGTATTGACATGCCACATCTCCATTATCTGGAGTTTCATTTTCAAGTCTGCTGCCCACAGTTTAATACATAATATTTTTACATAATTTGTGTTTCTCTGTAAGTTAAGCCCTTTAAGTGCTGTAGCAGAATTGGATGAGCATTTTAGTAAGTAGCACATTCACTGAATCCTTTTTTTTCCTCTCTGTTTCTGTGTTTCTAGTGAACATCCTTAGAAGAGTAAGAGACTTGGAAAGCTATAATCTAGAGAAATTTTCAGTTTCTGTTGCCCAGAACAATGCTCAAATTTCAAGAAACTGCAAAGCAGGTCACCGTTACCAGATCTAATTCTTCTTGCTCAGATGCTCTGTTCGCAAGGAGATACATCATTCGGAGGAAACTTGGCAATGGGAGCTTTGGAAGTGTTTATCTGGTTTCTGACAAGAAAGCAAAGCCAGGAGCAGAATTGTGAGTAAGCACTTCAGATACTTGAAATAAAAATATTCGGACCATATATATATATTTTTTTTTTTTTACATTGTAGATGTTTTCTTTGTATTAGTTTTTGTTTTGATTCTCAATTTGGTGTTATCCTGCACCCTTAACAAACACACTGTTTAACTTTAGTGATGGTATGAAATAGGAGCAGGCCTTATGCTGACTTAAATTCCCACTGGATTTGTTTTTAATATATTTTACCAAATATCAGATGGTGCTTGTGTCTAAGTCCTTTTAATTTACTACTCAGGATGAAATGGAGGTTTCAGTTAAAAAGTGAAGAAAATATCTGTTATTTTCTTTTTCTGTTAGCTTTGTTTGTCATACAGCTTAGATATAGGAACTACCTGAGTTTATAGGACTCTAAAGGCTCTATCTTCAGCTTTGGTGTTTTGGACTATAGTCTAAGCTGCTGAAGACCCAAGACAAGCAATATATGTTTTGCCTATAAATACTTTTCTCTATTTTTTTTCCTTTAGACTTTTATTTAAGCAGGCTAATTTGTGGTGACCTTGTTTTGAAGAAACATTYACTGCCTGCAGCATTTCATGCCTGTCTTTTGATAGGGATGAACCTGTGATAACATGTCCCATGTCACCCTCAGTGCAGAGGCTGRGTATCATTTGGCATATTCTTCTTCTTTTGTTTCATTAAATACTGTTGTTAAATACTACAACAGTATTTAACGGGGCAAATTCCTTTCGTTATAATGGTCTGTAGTTCCTAATTATACCACTTGGGGGTAATCGTATCACAGTTATTCCCCTCTAGTCCTCCTAAAGCTGAAACATAGGTTGAAAAGGGTATTCCCCTAAATTTCTGCCATTTAGGCAGGTAGTAGTGAATAAATATTGGCCCAGATRGACATGAAACCTCAGGCAGCATTTCAATAGAGAGGTTAGACAGCTTCTTCTGTTTAATGATATTGATTGTGTATGGTAGTAAAATGTGGTATGGTAGTAAAAAGACACATCGTTAACATTACTTTCAAGTAAGAAAAGAATCTGTTATGGAATTGTACTGCTTCCATAACATTATCCATAACATTTCCCTTTGAGAAGTAAATGCGCATATAAATATATATTTCTAAGAGAAAATGAAAAATTAATGATTATACTTCTCACTTCAAATCTTTATAGAGCTCTGAAAGTATTTTGGCCTATAAAAGGAATGGAGGTATTTAGCTCCTAAATTACCTTAACAGAATTAGAATTTTAGTTTCATTGCCTCAGAGATGATCGAGAACATGTTGAGAAAAATGTTAGCTACAGCATGAATTCAGTCACAGATAGTTTCCTGAAAATCATCTAGTCTTCTCATGTAATAGTCTAAAGCACTGTGAAAGAGCATAAAATAAACCGTAAGAAGTCAAATTCTCAGTAGGCTAAATCTTGTGTAATGATACAGAAGCTGTTCAAAAAGTTATTTTTCATAATTGTTTTAGCTGTTGAAAAATCTACTTAATTTCTTTCAGTGTGTTACATAYGGAATGACTTAACTCACACTGCCTAACACTGCTTATCATGTAATTTCATGTGTGGTCTACATAGCTTTTCCATGATCAGGAAAACAGTTCCTGGACATGCCTTCTATTTCTTTATCCCTAAAAGGATAAAGTATTATAATGGAAGCATTATATATAGAGTTGCTTCAGCTGGAAGGGACGATGTGATAATCTGGGGCATGCCTCAAGTTAACAGGCTTATTTCATATAGAAGCTGTGTACAAAGAGCTGGTCAGGCCAGCARTACCTGCCTCCTGTGGAAATGGATGCCAGCTTCTTGCTTCTACACCACTAAAATTTAATACAGCTTTTTTGAGTACATTGTGTTCTGGTAGGCTGCTAAAATTCCTAGTATTGAGTTGAAATAGCTCGATGTGTTTTCCAGTGAATTGTAATACTCATTTGGATTTTTACTAATATTAATAAATCCACTTGCCTCAATGGCTTTAGGGCATAGATAGTTTTTTTGGAAATATGTGGCCCTGTCTATACCAAGTATACCAGGATCCCTGTTTTCAGTATCAATATTTTTGCATTTAACGATGAGAGTGGTTATTACAGATGAATACAAGTATCTAAGTAGAAGTGCCTCAGTCCCATTGTTATATTGGCTTAGTTCATGCAGAACAATGAAGTGTAGACCCAAGAGTTTGGGCAGAAGTGTTCCTGCAGGAATGGAAGTCCTATGTGGGTGCTCGTCTCATCTGTAGTCACTTCTGCAAAATTAATCTTTCTTGCCCACAGAAGGGTCTGCTCCTGAGCAGGCCTCTTTTGTCAGCAGAGCGCCCAGAGAGAAGYAGAAGTTGCTTCGGAGCCCTCGTCAGCTGCTGTTCCTGGCTCTTGCTTAGCATCAGGCAGATGGGAAGAGAGAGAGAGCTGCAGGGGGGCCAGACCCCATCTGATAGGGGTGAGGAAGGGGCTGCTGAGAAATGTTACTGTGCAGCAGTTGTGTGCTGCTGCTGCTGCCACCTCCTGCTGCCTTGCAAAGCTGTTCCTTGGCCTGCCCTGGAGCTGCTCTGGTCCAGGTTACAGCTGGATGTACCAGCACTGACAGCACTGACAGCTCTGGCAGCTCTGGCTCAGTGCCCTGATAACTCATGATGTCTAAAATCCTCCAGGAAGCATCCTGGGCTGCAGAGAGCTCAGGTACCTTCACATACCTGGCCACATAAGGTTGCTGGATGGGTGTATGGAGGCTCCCATCAGGACTACCTGGCAGCTGGAGAGGAGAGGATTGTTTAAATGGCTTCTTTATTTCATGGTCATTCATTTAATGCAAGTAGCATGTGTATTTGGAGGAACAAATGTTAGATTTTCTATGTGTTTCCTCTCTTTCTGTAACAGCAGTGTTTATTGCTGTTACTTAGATTAGAGTTGGCCAGGACAATATTGTTATGAATGCTGCAAAAACCCAGCACAGAAAGTCTGTACTGCAAAAACCTTATAGACAGACCTTATAGATGTTATAGAAGGGAGATTTCATGCCTGTAAACATGGAAAAAAATACTACTGAGGATGAAAATCTACTGATGTGTTGTAACCACTGGCTAAGCGGTAACAAGTTTTGTGGCTATCGCACTACAGGAAAGTTTCCAAAATGAATTTTTAGGAGAATTAATTATGTGGAATGCATATATGTATAAGTAAATAAGAAATTGAGGATTTCTCAATTTCTCAATTGAGAATTTGCTTACAAAAGCAGTTTGTAAAGGGCTATTTTCAATTTGAAAGTTTTAGAAAGGTACAGGACTCGTGTAAACCTATAGAACATAAGAGCAAAAAGAGGGAAAATGAAGGCAAGTGATGAAAGGTGAGTCTTTAGAGAGAAGGAAGACACAAGTGCACTTGTGAGCACTTATGAAACAGCAAGAAGACAAGTGGATGAGGAAATGGGAATGAGAAGATAAGAGAGATCAGAAGGTTGGATGGAGGTTGGTGGAGAAGTGCTGTTGTTGGAGGTGGCCAAATGAAAAATTTGGCATCTCTGACAGGTGAGAAAGGTAAGGCAATATTAGAAGGGGGAAGAGATGAATAAGGCACAAGCTCGGGATAAGGACAAGGTCATGGTGGAAGAGAGAACTGGTGTATCCACTAATAATAGAGGAAGCAAAGATGATGAATTTGAAATGAAAGTAGGTAAAATATCTGCTACTCAGAATTCATATTTTTTTAAAGCAGGCTGTTCTTTGAGACACTGGTATTTGTAGAATTGAGAAAGAAACAACCTACTTTTTTTTTTTTTTTTTTTTTTTTTTTTTTTTTACTCCTAGATAGTTAAATACACTGTTGAGCAGGAGATCTCTGGAGATCTACTGCCCTAAAAGATTCTAAACTGCATTTTTTTCTTTGAATAACCTTTAGCACTGAAATCTGTATTCAGTAGCTTGTTGAGGTGAAATTATTTACATCTCCTGATTTAAATATCTGATTTCAACAATAGAATTTTAACAATGCAAGCAGTTAACAGTAGTGGTTTCATAAAACAGTACATGATAATGTGAGGCTCCCAAGTAGCAGCAAACAGTGATCGAATTTGCAGTTTCCTTAAAAGAGGTTGGGAGAAAAAAGTTTCTCTCCTGCTGTTTCTGTAGGCAATCAAAGTCAGAGAGAAGGACACGTTGGGACTGAAAAGAAGCACAAGAAAAATCATAATGCTGAGGAATCTACTGTAAAATTCACATTGGAATATGAATTAGCTTTGAAGTGGAGATGAAAAAATAACAGACACATTGGCAAATACTATTCTCACCTTGAGTATTTGTTCAGTAGCAGGTGACTACACTGAGGATGACCTTACTGTCATGCACAGTCCTTATCCTTGGGATCTTTTATTGTATGACTTCTTCACCAGTGTGCTGGAAACTGCAAAAATAAAGCCTTGTGTTTAGAATGTAGATAATTAGGAACAGAGTATAAACAGATGAGCTGTTCGTGGCTCTGTGTGACAGAGCACTCCCTGCTGACAGAGGAAATCTCGTCTTCCATATGAAAAGCTGGAAAAACTTGAGTGCAGAGTGTTAGATTATTTGTACATTTTAAAATCAAAATAGGTATAGATAAGAATATGAAGGTCTAGCAGTATAGTAGTGTATATAGGTGTCAACTGCATGTCACTCTTGATAGTATTGTGTTGTATGATCATTCCTTCATTCCTTACGTATTGCACTACGTTTGTATGTGTGGGTTTTGGTTTGTTTTTGCAATTTTTTTTTTCACGGTCTGGGATGTTTTCTATAATTTTACCTTTTTTATTATGTGACTCTGAAACTCTTTTCCACTTTAGTTTTTCCTTTCACCTTGTATTAACTGGAAAATTACAGATTTCTGTAAGCAGCTGCCACAACTTAGCAATTGCAGATCTAAGTGGAAAATGCCTAATAATACMACACTCTAATGCTGATGACCTCCAGCATTTTCATTTAGAAAATTCCAGTTCTGTGCAGGCCAAATGCATTTTCCTGTGTTC